GTTTGTTTTTTTTTCCTACACAGACCATTATCAGTTGCAACATGGAGTTCCAGCATTTTAAAAATTTGAAAAATACTATCTATTAAAATGTAATTTACTCAATATTTTGTATTCGATTCAGTTTTTACATGGAAATACTAGAAACGATAAAAAAAGGATCTGGCAAAATTTATGGCAATTTTAAGTGTTTTTTCTCCATACAGCCATTGCATTCGTAGATATATTGATTCTTGGACTGATAGATGTTTCTGTACGTACGAGACTTGTGTAAAATCGTTGCGTTCATTGAACTACGTTTACAATTCAGTATCCATCGATTCAGTATCGTTGTCTGAAAGCAACCTTGTGGTCTATTTATGATGCATTTTAAAAAATTCTTGAGGTTCTGAGATAAGTTTTCCAATCAGTCACAAATAAAAGGATACTTTTAATGTATAAGATTTGTGGAACCTTACTAAATGTGGCAATGCTATTAGGAAAATTTTTGGAAGACTTGGCGTATGCGTAACAGGCTGTATGTGAAAAGTGCATGTGTAAAATATAAAATGCTGATACATATGAAGTGCAAGGATTTAAAAGACAACTCTCGTGACCATAGAATCGAAGAGCTGCACTATCGTTTAGTTTTTGTATTTTCTAAGAAATATGTGTATGTAATATATGTACGTTAACGCAAGGCAAAACTGCAAAATGTTTGCTTAAACAAACTCCATTTTTTCCATTCTTTTTTTACTGTCAAATTTCCACTAAATTTCTATGCACACGTGTAATTACTTTTTCAAACACTACACTACATGCTTTCTTCGATATTTTCTATTAAGTTTGCATAATTATTGCATTGTTATTAACGATCAAAACGCAATTTACGATGAACAGATGCATACGTACAGTAGTAATAGCGCACCAATCACAAAGCGGGAAACGGTATGTGACTTCTGATTGGTTGGCAGCTGCCTACCTCGATTAGTATAAAAGCGGTGCAGTTCTGGTTCGGGCATCATTCTTTACTTGTTCGAAGAAGAACGTTCTTTATAGTTTTTCACTTTTGTGTAAACAATCGCTGAACGAGAAGATGTCTGGACGTGGAAAAGGTGGAAAAATCAAGGGAAAGGCAAAGTCTCGCTCGAACAGAGCAGGTTTGCAATTCCCTGTTGGTCGTATTCATAGACTGCTTCGCAAAGGAAATTATGCTGAGCGAGTTGGTGCTGGTGCACCAGTTTATTTGGCAGCTGTCATGGAATATCTAGCTGCTGAAGTATTGGAATTGGCTGGCAACGCAGCCAGAGACAATAAGAAGACTAGAATCATTCCTAGACATTTGCAACTGGCCATCAGGAATGACGAGGAGTTGAACAAATTACTTTCTGGAGTAACCATCGCCCAAGGTGGTGTCTTACCAAACATTCAAGCTGTTCTATTGCCCAAGAAAACCGAAAAGAAGGCATAAACCATTTTCTCCACCACTTGACTTTTGCACGATTAACAAATCGGTCCTTTTGAGGACCATCAATTTCTTTTACAAAGAACAATCTCAAACTAAACTGATTTTCGACTGACAATCATTGTTTTTATAAAAAAATTTTTGTATATCGATTAAGAATAGAATACACGTAATATTAAAATCAAATTCGAAATCCCACGAGTGAGAGATTCACTTATTAGTAGTTTACATTTAAAGAAAAGGAAATCGATCTTTATTGCAAATTAAAGTGGATACGTACACGCGTAAAATGATATGTACGTCTTTGATGAGTTTAAATAGTAATAGTAATATTAATAGTGATAATTTGAATAGTGGAATAAGAGATATGCTTTTCATTAAAAAAGAAAAGTTAAATAATAAAAGTTCAAACAAATAATGTTTAAAACGTATTTGGTATAAATAATTTTACTGCGTAACATAAAATTTTTCATTTCTATTCAATTGTTCGTTTGTGCTCTTCCCAGTCACGTTATTGGGAAGATAAATTTAATGGCAGAAGATTTAAGGAACGTCAGCCTTATAAAGTAATTGCTCTATGGGCCTAATGGTACGGTCCATAGGGAATGACGTTTACGTTATCTGGGTTGGGTCCTCTACAACATATTTAATAGTTGAACTAATAATTTTACTGCGTAATGTAATAAAATTTTTCAGTTCTGAAATAAAGTAAAGCGTAGAAGATCTTGAAGCTTGAAATTCGAAATTCCAAAGAACACGAACAGCATACAGCTTACGTGTATGTGTGTGAGATTAATTGTCGCTTAATTAAGACTCTTAATTTTAAAACATCGAATAAAATATCGAATTTCAGTATAGAAATTTACGTTTAATATTAATAATAATTATTTACATTACATTTTCTTTTATTTTATTCGATTATTGACACTGATTAGTACCAGCAATTTATCGACAGATGACGGTACCATTGTGACCAAACGTGTAGCGACATCTATTCCAGCGACATCTGTTGATGACTTTCTCAATTATCTCGTCGAAGAGTTTATTTTAAATAAATTTACGGCGCCAATTTTGTTAAACTCTAAAATAAGAAACTATGTAAAAATCAACATTTTAACAAAATTACTATGGAGACGTTTGTAAATAATTGTCAAGGATATTTAACAAATTAACGAAGGTATAAATAAGAGTTGTAAAATAGATAATAGATAAAATAGATAATCCAGAACATTGAATATTGAATATTGTACATTGTACATTCTAAAGTCTAAAGTTATTATTAATTAAAAGTGTATAAATAATTAATTAATTAATTTTATTGTTCAATTAAATATTGTTAAAGAATAGTTATTAAAAATATTAATATTAACAAAGTGTATAGTTATTTGTAATACGGTGAATTTATAATTTATCGATCATCGTACCTACAAACACCGACGAGGTGTACCAAAAATGACACTTTTTATTAAGTGTGTATAATTAATTAATTATACAGGAAATCCTTGAACAGAAATGTTTTTAAAAGCAAAAGCTTTAATTTCATCTGTTGAAAAATTCAACTTTTACTTTGAAATATTTGTTTTTTAAATTTCTTTATAGTGAGTTTCTTTATAGTTTTCATCGCTAGATGGCTCTCCAGTGTCCATAAATCGATGAAATTCTATTTGCAAGAAACTCTAATAATAAAAAAATTAATTTATGATTAATCTTCTATAATTGAATCTTCCAAATCAAACCCCAGCTTATTTTTTATATTTTCATATAACTTGTAAAATACGCAAATAAAGATGTACAAATGTCAACTAATAGATCGAGATATTCGCATAAATGATGTTTAATTTCTCGTAAACAACATGCAAGACTGAAATTAAAATCGAATGTAGTTGTAATGCAAAGTGCAAATTACAGAAATAAATATTAAAAAAAAAAGAATAACAAGCAAGGTCTTTATGCTACATCATTGTATCTTATAAGTATAATTCATATTTAATGTATAAGCACGCATTTGTTAAACGTAATACCAAATAATTTCAATCCTTATAACTTAATGTTTTTTTTACGCAATACCTTATTTAGTTGATGAATTTTAAATAAATTCAAGTGATTTGACTAAAAGTCTTTTGGCGCTATTAATAAGTCACGTTATTAATCATTAACAGCTGAAAATTACAACAATATTATCGATTGTTAACTATTGAAGATCACATAATCTCGTCATCGTGGTAATGTCATCGATCTTTAATCGTTGAAAACCACATAACGCTACCGATCGTTCTAATGTTAAAAATCGAGATAGTGATGCGATCTCGAGCAAAGCTTGATTTTTATAATTCATTTGTTTCTTCCATCGTTGAAAAAGAAATTTCCAGTAAAAACAGAAATCTATCGTTATTCCTCTTCTTCATTTCTAAAGAATCTCTATCGGCACTGCCACGATCCTTAAACTTTTATATTTCAATGTTCTAGAAAACGAAAAGAATTTATATTATTCCAAGGAGAATAAAATTTCTTAAAACTATAAGAATTTCTTCAGGCTTTGGCCAAACTTTCTAGGAATATTTTTTGACGTTAGAAAAAAATATGAATTTCAAAAATAGCCAGAAGAACACAGTGGAATTAGAAAATAAATCGATATTCCATGATTGTGTACTAACTCTCGAGTATAACGATCAAAGTTCAAGGAACAGAATTGAAAATATTCGAGTATCTCTTACACGTGTAAACGATGAAAGAAACAAAACTCGAAGGTCGTTCCATTCGAAGCTTCCACTGACTCGACGCAATATCTTCATTCTTCTTGAGTGAATCTATGATGTCCATGAGGCAAAGAAGACAAGGCCGACGATTGGAAATCAGTCGTCAATGCTATCGGCAGATAACGAGTGATTCGACGCATGGTGGCATGCTTTTTTTCAATAATAGGATAAAAATGGTAGAAAAAACAAATTTTCAAATAAAAAATTTTCGGACAATTTAATTTACTGGTTCCTTCTTATAAGTAATGAGTAGAAGATATTTACTAATATTATTATAATATAATATACTAATATAATAATTATTACATAATGATTTTATGTCATAATGTTATACTAAGAAGATATATACTAATATTATTATAATATTATAGATATATACTAATGTTAATATTAATGTTAATGTTATATATACTAAGAAGATATATACTAATAATATTATAATATTTTAATAATAATATTATATTAATATAATAATTATTACGTAATGATTTTATGTTATAATGTTATATATTATTGTACAAAAGTCGGTAGTACAAAATTCACATTAAAGGAAAGACATAAAAAGAATTCTCGGACCTTCTAGGAAATCCTTAAAATGTGAAATCCCTAAAAGGAATAAGGATACTACCTGAAAATTATAAATGATACTCGGAAATAAAGAGGTCGATTGGATTCTATATGAACTATCGAACGACTCGGATGAACTGCAACGCTTTTGACTAAACGTCGAATTGTACAAGTGTATAGTTGTATAATTGCATACTCTTTACATTATTACAATCGATAAATTTATAGAAATATAACGCCAAAGGATTACAAATAACGAAATGAAAAAATTACTCTCATTGAGAGTTTAATTAAAATAGCATATCCTTTATTTTACAATTTATTAGATACATTCTGTAGAACAGGAAATTAAATGCAACTCTTATAGATCCAAAAGCAAACATAATTATGCAGTTTTGCAAAAATATGTACTTTTTTTCTCATTTTTGTCACATTTTTGAGAAAGATCATTCACTAGCCGTACCACATAATTACATAGTAAAAGTACCTAAAACCTTTCTCCCTATTTCTGATAAGAATCGTCCACCGTCCAATTACGTGGTCAAAGTGTAGAACGCGCTTTTTTCCCATTTTTGTGACATTTCAGAGAAGAATGGTCCACAGTGTCCTATGTGCCGAATGCTGGGAGACAGGAGGGGTCTCGATATCCGATGCCGACGAAGCGTTACCAAGAAGGTGACTCAACCGGACCTGTGCACGTTGGTTTCAAAGCGCCGAAAGAAAGGGAAAGTACCCGGGACATCGAAGCATGGGAGCCTGACGTGCGGCTCTCAGTCCGCGGAAAGCGACTGAACGCATACGAGAAACGATCCTGCGCATCGATTTTTGCCGCGCGTTCGTGGAGACCGCGATCGAGATACGTACGTATGGTGAACACGGTGTGAATATCATTCGCTGGAGCCACCGCGGTGTCGATTCTACCGTGACCGCGGATCCTACTGGATTCGAGGAATGGTAAGGAACGATCGTACCGCGTGCATCTTCGTCGATTGATATGTTCTTCTTCGCGATTCACGTATATTTCAAACGTGCTTACGATTGTATAATACAGTGGATCAGATAACCTTAGATGTTCGAATAACTTGAGGGAATAATTCGAGGAAATTCAGCCTTGAAACTGGGTCGCTAAAATGTGCGAATGTGAGAGCTGTTACTTCCTTTAAACATACTTGTTCCATCATCTATTTATTAATACAATCTTTAAACATTAAATAGATATATTTCAAATGTTCTATATCGATTACATTTTAGAGTTCTGCAATGATCTTCATTTTTATTTCTGTTAAGAATATACATTGTATCGTAGTTTTACAGTTTCTCTTTGGAATTCCTTCTGATTATATTAAAATTTCCCATTTTATTAAAGTCGCTTCAAATATACGCTGTAACTTAATCCGACAATTAACAAAGAGGACATACTAAAAAATAATAGACAATAGATCCTTTAGTTCAGAAAATCTTCGACTCTTACAGAACGAATGATTTTTATTGCGACAGAGATTTTGTTGATTCGACGAAGCATATTTCTGTCTTTTTATACGTGATTTTTGAGCGTCGTATTTGCGTCAAATAACAAGAAAAGATGTTGCAACATTGGTCCTTGATGGATTGATTATTTGAGACTGTTTTACGTATTGAAATTTTGTACCGATTTTGAATTGGTTATGAATCTATATTGGTTAT